GCCAACTTCCCAGCATCCTCCTACCCCCCACCCGTCACTGATCCTATATGAACTGTCCTGGGAGAGAAGATAAGACAGAGAAATATAGGCATCGTTTGCAGCAATCGCAACAAAAGGATCCGCGCTCGTGGTCGCGCCGAAGCTACGCCGTCGCGCGGCTCTCCAAATGCGATTAGCAGCTTATGGAGTTTGCAGTTGGAAGCCGCGTGTTTTTCTTTTTCCCTCCTTCGATATCTATGACGTCGGCTACCATAAGTCGAGGCAAAATTGCCGCTATTTGGTCAGGAGTGTCCTGAGAGCAAAGCACGAGTAAGCATTTATATGTGTGTGCCCAGCAATGATCAGCTGAGGATATGGGAATGTGGTGGGGGCTTGTCTATATCTTCCCTGGCTTCTCCAGAGCAGGATGCAGGCTTTAAGGAAGTATGATTCTGCCGCTGCACAATACTGATTTTCCTGGATCAGTCTGGTCACGGGATCTGCCAGTATTTCAGGGGTGGGGCAGTTGGCATGGTACCCCAAGCATTATTAATCGACTTGCACTCTTTGCTGGGTTCACTGGGGTGGCACCCCTGCTCACGGCAGTTTACGGCTGCCTGATGGATAGCAGTACAGCCAGAGCCTCCCATCTGTAATTCAGCCCTCTCCTAGCTCTCAGACGCCACCCCAGATGCTCAGCCATTCCTTGTACTTACAGAGGCCTCATCACTATTCATTAAAGCTGTGCATTTTCGAGAGGTGATCACATGAGCTTGCCCGCCCCTCTCCCGTCACACGTATTTCTTGAAGAACCCCCACTCTTTTGTTTTCCAGTTTTCATTAATTTTTGAGACTCGTGTGGAAGGCTGTTGAATTAACAAGCCAGTGACGCTTCGGAGAGGTTTAAATCTCCCTTGAATTTGCCAAACGCCTTGATAAATGTGCAGACAGGCTAGCGAGACTGTAAAGAGTTTGTACACCATGGCCTTTGTGTATATACCAGCTCAGTGATAACACTTTGGCCTCACACTTCCAGGGCTGTAGGCTTGATCCCCATCCTAGCTGTATGAGGAATTGTTCACCTATTCCTGTTTTCCATGAAATGAGAAAATTGGACGAGCGGGTGTCTCTGAATGACCCACTCCGCGCAGCTGCATGCCCTTCCCATCCAGGACACCCCCTGCCTTCTGCCCTGTCGGTCCTGGGATCACCTCCAGGTTTACCGTCACCCTGCAGTTATAGAAGATGGATGGATAGGTTGCTGTCGCTTAGTCTTGAATTCTGTTATGCAGGTCCTGCACGTACAGAGTGTACTGAAAAGATCAGAAGCCAAATGTTCATTAAATAAAAAACAGCATTCTGACATGGAAGATTGCGTTTGCCTTCCAGAGCCCAGACGAACCATCAGTGGCATACTGATAGACGGACCCTGTTTCAACTCTTCATCCCGTCACCTGTTTATAAAGTGCAGCATTGATGACTTGACAAGGCCAATTTTTTTATTTTTGTCCCCTGTATTAAGTGGTCAGAAGATGGATGGGTGATTCATGTATGTATCTGCAAAGGACAACTATCAAATGGATATCACTGTGGATTATGTTAATAACACGCGATTAACAGAGTTACATAAGATCATTAAACCCTACAGCACTTGTTTGCCGGACAACACAGCAGTTACCTCTTCTGCCAAGGACGTGACGTAAACGAAACTCTAACTTAAACTACTGGGCTGTGAAACTATGGGAGAGAAGATAGGGAGACTGAAGGGCTTTGCAGTGAACCAGTTTAAACTTTCAGCCAGGATTTTAGAAGGATTAACATCCAACTGAGCAGATTCTCAGTCTATGGAGAAAATTAGTGCTGAGCAGGTCCTGAGTTAGCAGCCATAATGCAATTTGTATTCCTACACAGTCAAGTGGCTCTGTGCCGTGTAGAGGACACTCAGCTGCAGATAACTGGGAGATGTTCTGTCTGACATTGACTTAGGCACTATTAGAAGTACAGTACTTGTGTTGTTATTTTATAAGCGCTTCACTGTTATCATGGATAAGGAGACCTATGATGTTTACAAGTCTTCTGTTTGATCTAGCAGAGTTAAGTTATATCTTGTAAGCTAGTGGCTCAGTGGTCACCGCTGTTACCGCACGTCTCCAGGCTCGTGGGTCTGTGAGTTTCCTACTGTACATGAACTCTGGATTTTCTCACAGAGAGAAATAGGTGGTTAGGCTAACAGGCATCTCTAAACTGCCGGCAGTGTATGATTGTAGATGTGCCTTGTGACAGACTGGCCTCCTGTGCAGGGTGTACCCCAGCCAGTGCTGTCCCCCCCCCCCACCCCACCTATGACCCTGCGGTCAAACGACAGGCGGGCCATGTGATCCTTGCAAACTAACATCCATAAATGATGCACAATTAACTACTCTACAGAGAGGGGGGGCGGCACAGGGAGTTTGAGTATGTGAGCAAGACACTTGTGAACTGTCTGGTGGTCAGGAGGAACATGTAGCGTGGAGGACAGGAACACGAGCTACTGCGACAGTGGTGAACAAACACGGATGCGGACAGAATTAGCAAACAGCTGCAAGGGCTAAGCGGTTTTGCAGACATGTCTGTTTTGCCGTCTGACTGTGATTCATTTCTGAGTCACTCCAGAAGACAGAGAACTTCATAAATATGTCCTTCCTCTCGACACTGGATCACAGCATTGTCCAAACTGCCTCTTTCACTCTGTGGTGTTCAGCTTTTAGAGGATTGATGAAACCGGAGGGAGCGTGGCTTAGTCTGTGGTTATGATTGCGAATCTGGTGCATGTTTACTGCTTAATAAGCTTAATTACTTAATTCAATAATTAATTTGTGGCCCTTATTTTAATTTGCGAACTGCAAATCAGTTTCTAACATAGGGGAACATAGTTTCCCTTAATTTGCACCATTCGATTTTTTATATTTAATTAATATTGCGAATCTGGTGCATGTTTACCGCTTAATAGGCGAACATGCATGCAGATGGGGATGACATGGCAGCTCCCATAACCTGATGGTGGTTTACTGGTTTACATGATTGTCACATAACTTGAGGGCTGCTGGTTAAAATGCCAGAATCCTTCAGCAAGGACCTTAACCTGAATTCCTCCTATAACAGTTTAACATTGCTTAAGTTATAAAAAATGACAGAGAATCAAAAAGGTATTGACCCCGTCATAAAATTATAACATAGGATCTGCTTTAAAAGTGCAAATAATCAGGAAAAGGTAACTTGTGCTCAGAGTTGGTTAATTCAGGTCCAGAGAGTAAAATTCCATACCGGGATTTTGTTTCAACCAACCAGTTGACCATAAACAGTCACAGTCACAGAGTACTCAACTGATTGGTTGAAACAAAATCCCAGCCTGGAATTTTACTCTATAGACCTGAATTACCAAACCTTACTTGTGGTAAAATGCATTTGAATATAAAGTGGAGTCAAACTTACTCTGACAAAATCATGAAAATTTAATTAAGAATTACGAACAAAGTGGAAGACAGGCAGAGACAAACAAATCCCCGCTAATTAAAATTCTCAGCCCTATCCCTTCCCGGCAGTTTGTCTCACTAATATTACTCTTAATATTGCACTTTTAATTAACTCTGGTATGCTAAAGCTGCGTTAGCACTGAGAGTGGAATGGTTACTGAGCTTCAGGTAAAAATAAAAATGCTGAGATGTTTGTTCCGTCGCTGCAGACGATTGAGGCTTAATGACTGCGGTGAGGAGAAAACAGCTCCAATGCTAGTCTCTCCTTATGCTGTCCTGAGGGGATGAGCGAGAACGACAGAGCATTCCTCGCACTTCAGTTCCGCACGGCACCAGCGGCAGAGGAGATCATCTGTGGGATGCATCTGGATCTTCTAATGGTGTAAGCTGAGGTGAGCAGGGAGGACATCTGGGTTGGGGCTCAGAGAGGGTCTGGGTCACAACCAGAGGTCCAGACCATCTGATTAACTTTGGTCACTTCTTTGGCCTCAAAAAGAAGGAGGAAACGGACAGGTCTCCTTTGAGAACGTTTGGCAGGTCCTAACAATGGGCAACTCTAGCTGACAAGAATCGAAATGAAAAAGATTTTACCCAGCTTGATCATGTTGTCCATGAGATGCATAAACCTACATGTGGATGGGGGGGGGGGGGGTTCAGTGCCCCTGGAGCTGGGGGCCTCAATTGGGGGCCCAAAGGCATGTGATTTTTTGGCTGAGGCTTGAACTGATGACCTTCTGATCAGAGGGACAGAGCCCACTCAGTCTAACACCCCTGCCCCCCCCCAAAGAGTTGTGAGCAATTTAAGGAGAAAAATGTTTATAAACAGATAAAGCAAATGGACACTGACACAATCATGCCTGATAGTGATATATGAACCCCTTTTCAAGGCATGGAATCTGTGGTTCCTACTCTTCAGAATGAACATGCGTTCTTTGAACTGTAAGGGTTTTTTCGTTTTGAATAAGAGCTTCCGATGTAGGCAAAATGGGGGGGGGGGTCAACCGTTAATGCAAGCCGTATGATGTTTTCCTCATTGAGATTGTTAACCAATGAAAGGCGGCATCATTTCTTTGACAGGTGCATCATTGAGGAAACAACAGGACTTCTGTCGTTCGGCGATTCCTGTTGAGGTAACGGCAACTGGACTATTCTGTTTTTAGCTTTTGTAATCAGTAATAAAAGCATTTAAATGTATCACAGTGTGAAATTAATTTATTTGGCGAGGACCCGTACATTATGCCTTATGAATTACATCAATGGTTAAAAGAAGGACAAGCCATCGCCCAGATTTTGCACCAGATGGAGGACATCGAGCTGAAAAACCGGACTGTGCTAATTAAATCTGGACGTCTGGCCACCCTATCCACTATGCTGCATGTCAGCTCCGTGAGCAACTTTCAGTTCTGCTTAAGGAAATTGTCTTTCCTTGGAGAGTTAACATAGCGTATTGGTACACGAAGATGTTTAATAGTAGCCAAATATATGACAGACTGCTTTGTGAGAAGGTTCACGTCTGGCTCTACACAGCTGCTCTACACAGCTGCTCCCATGAAATTTGTGCTACATGTACATTTGTTGCTGCTGTTGCAATTTTTGCAACAAAGAGGCCTCAGTCACCTGTTATTCAGTTGTTTGCCACCGTGTTTGCTTGGCTCGGGATTATGACATCAAGGGCCTAAGAACTGATTATGGGGCGATGGTCCCTTTCCGAGCTTTAGCCGGTCTGCTAGCTGGCTTGCAAAGCGACTTCAGGGAACCCCGACAGCGTAACTCCCACTGTCCCGCGGCGGCTCTGCCAGAATCCCCTTATCAGACTGCCTGTGTCTTATCCCTGGCTTTGTACTCACTGTATCCGCATCCCCCTGCCCCTACGGGGAGCGCTGTGTTTTTTATGTGCTTTCAGGGCTGTTAATAATTTTAATGGCTGCTTCCAGGCTGGATCTTCCATAAATGGACACAGCCGGTAGTCAAACAGCAATAACAATGGGGTGTTATGACATTGGCTGTAGACATTAGTTAGCATGCCTGTCATTTGAGCTCCTGCCACAGATGTCACATATTATATCAACAATCTGTTATTTTAATTACTCCATCGGCTTGGCTTTAGACATGTTAAGATCTCCCTCACCCGCTCCTTGCAGATGTCTGCGAGATCCACTGAGATGCCCCCCCCCCATAATGACACCCACCGCTGCAGAATGTTGGGAGGCCATTTTTAATCCTGGAGGCCCACTATGAAGGAGCAGGGCTTCTTCCCGGACACCCCCCGCACGGGAAGCGACCCCGTTCCAGACCAGGCGAGCAGCTCCTGCCAGGCCACGCATCACACATGGGGATCCGTTGACGGGGGCCAAACGCTCTCTCTCTCCCTTGCCCCAGATCTCCGTGGGTGTCTTGCCTTTCTCTGTTTTGCAGCAGCATGCTGGATCACGGGGGCAGCCTGTCTCCCGTGATAAACGCACAGTCCGGAGCGGTCAAAAAAAAGAGCTGCTCTGTCTGACGGTCTGTCAGTAAACTTCCCATATTGTTCTGCATTTTGTCTTGTTTTGTCCCTTTCTTTGCTTCGGTCTGTCCCATTGTCCCCCCATACACCATTGTCCCCCCTTGTCCCCCCATACACCATTGTCCCCCCCCCTTGTCCCCTTCCCTGCAACTGTGGCATAAGACTTTCACTGTGTACCTCGGAATACATGACAATGAAACTCCTGCTAAACCGCAGAACATGCGATGGACAGATGCACCCTGACCGGCTCTGAGAACAGAGCAAACGCTGAATCCATTCGGCTTTCAGCCTTGGTTAATGGTGGATGGATCAGGGCTGACTGGAGGAGGGGTGTGTGTGGATCAGATGCTATATCGACGTCCCGGGGGGGGGGGGGGGGGTGCTGTCATTACCCTATAGGACGCTATTGCCATGGCTGCCGGTCTGAATTACTGTCTCCAGATTACTGGGAAACTTTAAACGGCAACTTTAAAACCCTGAGCTGAACATCAGGCCAAGTCTAATTTAGTCACAGCTGAACAGATGCATGAATTCATCTCTTTCACGTCGCGAGCATTCGCCCAGCCCACTGAAAGCGCTCGCGGTAAATGCAGAAGGATGCCCCATCTCCTTTATTTTTTAAGAGATGTTAAGGAGATGTACAGGAACCCTCTGGAAATGACACCAGCTGCTCTGCCAGCTCCTGGCTTTCCTGGGGGAGGAGAAGTAGGACACGCGGGGGGATTGAAAGCACGCGACACGCTCTAAGCTCACAAAGAAACCATGTAAGTGAAAGGAGAAAAAAAGAAGAAGGCAATTTCCCCTTATCAGCCATATCCGGGGGCAGTGCTGTAACACTGCATGGTGGGGGAGGGGCACTGTTTATTACACTGGAGGGTGAGGGGAGGGGCACTGTTTATTACACTGGAGGGTGAGGGGAGGGAGTATCTGGGGAGTTTATCTCAGGTTAATGAAGTAGCAGGTAGGATAGACAGATGAGATGAGAAAAGATGAAAAGAAAGATCAGGGTCCAAACTTAACACCCATCAGACGCCAAATATGGGTAGATTTTCTTTTTGGTGTGTAAATTCTGGAAGACTATCTGCCACTCTTGTGGGTAAATGTTTGTACCAAAAGTCACGTGATAATCAAAACACAATCCTTAGAGTCTCTAGCGCATTTGACTGGTTGACACACACACACACACACACGCACACACACACACACATGCACACGCACACAGACACAGGTTTATAATTGTATCTTTGTGGGGATTCTCCATTCATTTCTATGGGGGAAACCCAGCCCTGACCTTAACCATAAGTAACCAAACAAAAAAACGAGACTTTTGCCATTTTTTGTTTTTTGATTGCATTCACAGATCTGTGTGGGGCCCTGAAAAATGGTCCCCACAACATCAAAATCACAGGTTTTTATCACATTGTGGGGGAAATTTAGTCCCCCACAATGTAATATAAACCTAGTCCACACGCACACACACACACGCACACACACACACACACACACACACACACACACCTGTAATCATATATCTTTGGGGACTGTCCATTCATTTCCCTGGGCAAATCCCTATTCCCAACAATGACACCCTTAACCCTCACCCAGCCCTAACCATAAACCATAAGTAACCAAACTAAATACAAGAGTTTTTACATTTTTAGTTTTTTGATTGCAGTCAAAGATTTTTAGAATATTGGGTCAGGAAACTGGTCCCCAAAAGGTCAAATTAACAGATATTCACATGTTCTGTGAAGACCTGCCTCTCCTCTGCCTCTGATTGCCTCTCTGAGCTTGGAATGTATTGTCTAAGCCTGGCTAATTAACCATCTGACAATAACCGAAACCAAACAATGAACAATAGTCAATAAAGGCAGAATAGGGGCGGGTCTTTGCGGAATGTAGGTAACTATCACTCGCCACCAGTGTGCTGCTAGTTACAGTCAGGCTAATTAAAAGTGATGTGGTGATATTTACAAGGAGTAACCCAACCTTTACAATGAAAACAAATGTATATGTGACATAGAAGGGCAATTTATTAATTTGGCCGGTATAAATAGGCTTGGCAGTTGGATTTTTTCATGCACGAGCCACCTTGGCTGGTGAGTTAAAAAGTTCTAGTCAGACCCTGAGCAAGAGAAAATGCTGAATGGAGAACAGGCAGATTCGGGAGGGGAACGGCTGCCCAGGACAAACATACAGGGGAAGGGTCGACTGCTTTTACAGTATAAAGCCTTGGGTCGTGATGTAATGGGGCACCCAGTGGTCACAATCAGGTCCAGGCAATACATACCAAGACCCATAACTACCCCAAGCAGCAGAAACAGGAGTGGAATCGGTGTTTGGGCAGAGGAGTCAAACTCCTGGAGTTGATGGGTGTTAATTCTATACTGAAAAATGACAAACGACCACAGCTTGAGTGCCAACCCTGTGTACCGCCTGCCTGGGACTGGGTGGTAGGCTTTGTTTACATTTCACATGAACTTATTTGACCGGCACACCTTTAGTGACATGAGAGTCATTTCACACAGTCAAAAGGGTCATCGATGTGTGGCATGGTAACTCACAGTGCTACTCAGCTACAGCGCCACCCAGCAGGTATAAAAGGAGCTGCACCGATTTGGGAGAGCTTATTAATAACCAGCTGAATATAGTGAGAACTACTTCGGATGGGACAGCGAGCAGATCCCCACGATGGGGTTTGGAGGCCGGAATGGGGAGTTCAGTTTAGAGGAACAGATTTTATTACAGGGGGGTTGGCACAGTGCAGTGGTCAGCTGTCCTGCCTCCCCCCTCTGCCTCCCCCCTCTGCCTCCCCCCTCTGCCTCCCCCCTCCGCTGTGGCTCCATGTGGGTGGAGTTGGCCTGTGTTGTCATGGGGTTTCCACCAGACAGGAAAAACACAAGGGGAGAGACAGGGAGCCAAAAGGGAAACAGGCAGGGAAGGAATGAGGAATCAGGGAAGGAAAGCTTGAGGAAATGGGAAATGGAGACATGACCTCAACAGTGGCCAAAATAGCCCATTAGTGCATCTACTTCCCCAGAGGACTGAGACGTCCAAAATAGCCCAGACCATCTTCCACACACGTCCACAATCTATCCTCAGTCCATCCTCGTGGGGGCACAAACAGCATGGTCGACTGCCCAGAGGATCACAGGCACACAGCCCCTGCCAATCTATAGCATCGTCCCCACACACCACCTCAGGAACACAAGCAGCAGCGTCTAGCAGCAGCGTGGGGGACTCCAGACACCCTATGCTGACACTATTGACCCTCCCGTCTGGCAAGCAGCTAAAGTCTATGCTGATATGCCCCTCCCCTTTTTTCCCTACTGCCATCTGACCTATCAGTGACACTTACAGTCCCCAACCCCCAGGACTTCAGGATTTGCACTATTGTCTGCTGCTACACAAGTATACTTATGCTTATTTTTAGCTGATTATTGTCCTGTGTCCTGTTACTAAGTGTTTGCCCTGTCTTATCCTGTGTCTGTCTGGAACACAAGCGAGTATCTCATTGTATTCAGTACTTGTACCTGTACAAATGGCAATAATCCTTTTGAATCCTCTGAAATCTTTGAGTCTTTCAATCCTTTGATGGATGTTTTGCTTGGGGAAGATAATATAGGGACTGTGTTTGCGGTTGAGAGTGAGAGAATGAGAGATTTTCAAAACTGATTGCAGCTGAGAAGGACTTGATATGTAACCCCCCCCCCCCCAACCCACAAAAAATAAAAAACAGCTGAGATAAAAGCCTAGGCAATGCTGATAAGCTGAGCTGAACTGAAGGGGGCAGGCCATAGGATGGGTAGTAGGCGTTGGGGGAGTGCCTGTATGTATTGCCAGCACAGATACCACACCCCTCGGACAGGACGCGGGTCAGCCTGACCGTCTTTCACATAGATTGTGGTCTGCGGGGTTTCAGACCTCCTGCACATATCAGCCATGGACATAAGTCACAGGGGCTGCAGTGTGTCCTCGTCCTCGCAGGTGACGTGCTGCCCCTTTCCCAGCAGCTCCCACAATGTGCCAAGCTCTCCGTCCCGTTGCGTTATGTCACCTCTCGTCGTAATCGCAAACCCGCCTTCTTAAAAACCGCTTGTAGGCACTCATCTCCAGAGAGGAAAACACAGCGTGCATATCAATTATTAACCCACTTTGTTTTTCAATTCCCTTTTTAATGCCATTCATCAAAGGGCTCTCATTAAAAATATCCCGCGTGCATTAATGGCACGTCAAACTTTCGCGTTAAAAGGATGAGCCCATATGAAATGCGTCAAACTAAATTCTCATTACGGCTACAGCTAAGATAAATCCGTGATTTCCAGCACTCTTACGATAATGGGCATTAAATATCCTACCTGCTACTTCCGCAACATTTTATCTGTTTTGTGAGACATTTGAGGGTTTTTTGGCAGTTTTATTAAAATACGCCGCATCCTCTCAGATGT